CAAACAAGGTGTGAATATTACAGTGAATACTTGACCATCATGTCGACATTATCGGTTGCGCTCCAGATGCTCCGACAGCTGGCAGATGATGAAGATGAAGATGAAATGGAGGTCCTGGAGAGTCCTGGGTGCTCTAAGTACCCATGTTGCTGGTGCAGCCATCGTTGAGCGAGACATGACGGTGTGTGACAGTGATCGTAGTTATCCCAAAACAGTAAGTTTTCATGATGGAGGCAAGAAAATGGTTTATTTGGGGGGTCCTGACCCTCTGTCAAATAAATCTCAGCACTTTTGAGGTTTACTGACCTATTTCATTCAATTAGGCGGGTCACGGTCACATCGGATATTTTGGCCGAAACATTTCGGCGGGTCACAGGTCACAGCCAAATCTTTTGGTTCCAAACTGTCCCAATCGGGAAGATTTTCAAATTTTCGGCGCCTGCGGCGCGCTGAACTTCCTAATCGGATAATAGGTCACGCGAAATTCGGCAATTGGACATTTCGGCCAAACGGTCACGGGTCACAGGCCCGCTGAATTGATCGAAATGGGTCAGTATTGCAGCCTCAAATAGGGATTTCAGTCCGGTCCTGATGGGACCGCCAGCATCTTCAATAGCAAAGTAGTTTATTTATGCAAAAATGATTACTTTTATGTTACAGGAAGTCACCCAGTCTGAGTGACTGTTGAGAATTGACTAGTTGTTTTCCTTGTGTACTCTAGCTGTGAGGCTGGTTTGGATAAACACTGGGGGTTCTGGTCCTTTGAACCCCCTTAAATACTACAATAGAAGTAACTAGAATATTCTACAAGTATCTACAATGTATGTGTAATATCTGACTAATTACACTTTGGGCTCATATAATCAACACCCCCATGAGCCTGCAAGTGTAAGTTAGGGCTTGGTTTGTAAAGATTTTGGAGGTTATCAAACGGTTTGATAAAAATAGCCTCTGAAACCCTGTTTATAAACCGGTTTTTAGGTTTTATAAACCACGTGAGCTGATATGACCGGAGAGATCAAAACTACCTTTTTAGGGAATTTTTTGCAGCAAATTTTGGTGTTTTGACTTCATAACTTTGAGATTCATAGACATTAGGGGTTGAAACAGCAAGGTTATATCAACTATCACTTGTGAGTTTGCATAACATGTATAATTTACTTATCAGCAGATTTTAGAACCCCTGTCATGAATCCTTTAGAACACTTAAAAATCATGATAGTATAGTCACACACCCAAGCTCCCAATACTTACTAGGATTAATCATGATCAATATGGCAATATTAGCCAAAAGTGGGTTGAGATCCTACTTGATAAGAAACAATATATTATACTAGACCTATAAGATATGATCAAACCTACTAGCAGTATATAGAAGCAATATTAGTATAAAGTAAGTCTGGCTTGCTGGCTTCTTTCCTGTTTGGGTGCTTACTAATATAAAAACCATACAACAGGGGGTTTCCAGCCAGGCTGTTTATAAACATATAAAACACTGTAAGTAAAGGAAAGAAATCAAAAATGTCCAAAATTTCTTCTCGGCAGATCCGCTGTGAACGAGCACATAGCGTTGCCACCTCGTTGGCTGCTCTATCCGGAGCCGTTCTTTTCCATCATCCCGGCGTGATCTAAAATGCATACCCGCTTCTCTCCGTTGCCACATGCGCTGATGCACCCTGTCCAGATGGACAGTTCTTGGCAATGTGTCCCTTCTTGTGACACTTGAAGCAGGTCATCTGCCACGTTGCAGCCATGGCCACTCCCGCTGGCGCACCACCACACATCTGCTCTTCATCCAACAGCGCGCCGGTCACATCTGCGACGGTTAGATCGACAGAAGTTGCTGTCAGCATGGAGGCTATACTCCCCCACTCTGGGGAGAGATTGTAAATTATCACGTCCACCTCATCACGCATATCAATCTTGACACCGATCGCACGCAGAGCCGACACCAGCCGCCCAATTTTCGAGATGTACTCCGAGATGGGCTTTTAAGAAGGGATGCAAAAAGTAACTATTTTGGTTTCTGTTTCCATTCAAATGAAATATATTATTTCTTTTATGAGAAAATATGGATTTAAATAGGTAATTTCAATTCACTTTTCTGTTGGAAAAGAAATTTTTGAATTTGCCGTGTGAGGCAATGTTTTGCCTGACAAGTGGGCATGGTGTGCTTGTTGGCTTTGATATTTGGGATGTGGGAAGGGAAGGGGGCTCCAGGAGGTGCTGAAAGAATAGAGAGAGATAGTGTTAAGTGCCGTGCAAAGACCAAAGGGGAGTAGCCTGCCCCTGTGCCTCTGTTTACCAGCCTGTTACCAGTTGGTTTTTGTCAGTGGTGGTGGTTGGGAAGAGAAGATTGGCATGGGAGGTGTTGTGGGTGGCTGGCTCAATAGCGGGTGTCCGCGGCACTGGTACATGCCTCCGCACCAATGGTACAGTTGGGTATATATGCTGTGCATACTTACATCTACTCTATGCAGCACAGGCCACAGTCTTTAGGTGCTGATTTTAAATTTTTATGTGAAACCACTACTTCCTATTTACAGTTTTTCTTTCTAGAAGATGTGATTGATCAGAGGTGTTGGAAAAGAAGCTGAGTGGGGACCCTCAGGATTTTTTAAACAGGGAGATGAAGGACGGGCGACATGCTACGTGGGTGAAATATGTAGTGAAACGCGCACAAGCGTGGTCGCGAGGGGCATTGCACACTGACCAAGGGACTTGGTCATCTGCCATGGCAACAACAAGGCAGTGAGCAGCTGTGGTGGAGACAGTGGCAGCTGTGGTCGCAACGGATAGGCTGTGATGGCAATGAGCAAGGCAATGCGGGAGATGGGGGGCTATGGACACGCCACGGTGGCCTGGGCTGAGACAGTTGTAAAGGGTGTGAAAAACCTATATATTTAGCTTAGAATGTACCTAGAAGGACTTGGATGCAGTCACAGCCTGATTATCAAAGGATAAGCGCTTAACGGAAGGAAACGGACATGGCCTGCTTACCAAAGGGTGGGGGCACTTGGATTTATGGGACTATGACTACAACTACAACTACTATGGTACACTACAGAACGGAGTTGTGTAAGGAAGCACCAAGACATTGATTGACACTGGAGCTGGACTGACATTGTATTGGATCTTCACTCTACGTTCACACAACTCTTGCTGCTGCATGGAAGGTCCCTCAATAGTCATATACTTTGGCTGGAGCCCCATACTTGCACGCATCTTGATATGAATCAGAGTTTGCATTTGGCTGTCTCTTCCCCACCCCAAGGGGCTGTCAAGATTTGAAAAATAGATATAGGGTGTCAGGGGAACCCCCGCTTCGGCCTCCTTCGGACCCTCCGAACGCATCCGAGGCGCATCCGACCGGCGCCCCCTCGGACGCTCCGACCCACCCCGACCATCGTCCACGGCCTCCTTCGCCCGCACAATCACCAATCCGTCAAGACCCTCCCAACGATCACCTTGGGACAGAGCCTGCGACGCCGCTCAGGCCTTCTGCACTCTACGTCGGCAGTTACGGACGACCAGTATATAGTTGGCGCCCTAGCAGGCGGACCCTTAGAGTTTCTTCTCTTTGGATCCTCCCCTGCTAGGTCGGTCCCTCCGTGTATTTCCTGTAGTCTTATTCACTCTTTGGATCCTCCCCTGCTAGGCTTTTCGTCGGAGTCTCCAGGGTTGCCCTTACAATTTCCAAGAACATTAATAGAAACATAGACTTCTAGCTATATATATATCTTGTAGACAAAGTCCTGATATAGTCATTGTCTTACAAATCTCACTCCAGAGTACAGATATCCATCCCCATATGGTCTGATTTGTCACAATGTTCCATCTGATGATGAGATACTGAAAAATAACCACTTCTGAGATTGTTGATACTTAATTATAGATGTATAGTGCACCAAACAGTACTTGTAACCCATCCTAAGACAATTTTGACTTACCATTTCAGCCAAAAAGTTTCTACCAAAAAATTTTTTTAAGGCTCCGGAGGGGGGACCGACCGACCATCCCGGTTGTCACTTTTTGACACGTGACACCCCCTTGCTAACAATATGCTTTTGAATTCTGTCCTAAGCCCAAAATGAACCAAAAGCATCTGGATTTCCAGCAAATGAGACAACGGTCAAGTAACTTCCAACACAATATGGCCCGCAAATTCTACAAGGCAGAGCGACACGCTGACTCTTCCACATCTTCCTCAAGCTCTTCGATGTCCTCGTCCTCGCCGGGTCCGCGATAGTCGCGGTGGGCGTGGGGTGTGCGGGTCACGCTGTACTCGACCTTGGAGCTTGCGGCGGGCCGCAGGTGCTTGAAGAACCAGCGCGGGCGGTGGCTGACCGCGACCTCGGCGTCGGTGCCGTAGCCGGTACTGTCAGTCCGCGCGATAGAGGACCCGGCGGCGTCCTCGACTTCCCACGGAAGTGGGTCGGCGTGCATCCTGGTTATCCCACCGGGCATCGGCCCGGCAGCTGCGCCGTTGGCGTGGGTGCGATCGCCGTCGGTGGTGGCGCCGGCGAGGCCGAACGACGCAGACGGGGAGATCGGACGGAGGGAGTATGTTGAACTTGAGGAAGCGTTGGAAGCGGTGGTGTAGCTGCGTCCGCTGTCGCCCCCGGCGTAGCTATGGGTGGCGGGACTGGGACTGGGGGCAAATGGCTGGGTGGCACGACTGTGGGCGCCGGAATGGTCGAACTCGGCGGGCGGGTAGAGATATGTGCTGCCAGAGAAGGATTCGCTGGAGTGGAAGCCAGCTGCAACGGGCTCATGGCGCGGAATAGCATCGCAGCGCCGGAGGGCCATGGTGATTTGGGCAAGTTGGGATTGGGGGAAGCTGGGAGAACTGAGGTCTGGGATGTGATGGGAGGCCGGAAGAGAGAAGGTTCGTGACAACAATGGCCAGCGTCACCGTTTATAGACCACAATGACGTCCGTACGCGTGTTGCTATCGGCCGGCCGGGTGGCATGCGCCTGGTCCAGTGTTCACGCCGCTATCAAAGCGTTCGGCTCCGAGCCCCGAGCCGTCGTCCGGCCGGCCCTGGGGCCTGCCGTTCGGACTCAGGCTCCGTGGTTTTCTCCGGGGCCCTGTTAATGGTCTCCTCATCGACCGCCTCGTCCAGCTCTGCGTGCCGGCTCCGCACCGGTGCCCACCCGCGCTCCCACCCAAACCACGTGTGCCGCGAACAATGTGGCCCGCGGGCGCCTAGGACGAGCAACTGCGCAGCACACAGCCCGACAGAGAACGCCGCGCAGAGACGCCAGCCGTGCGCGAGGTAGATATTTGTGCCCGCAGCAGTGCCGGTAACCTGGCCCAGGAATATCTGCGAAGTAATCGATCCATGGATACTTAAATCCAAAATTTCGAACAGAAAACTCACAGACAGCACGTTGATCGCGTTCAGCCGCCCGCGTGCATCCACGGAGATACTAAAAACGCGTGTCAACAGGTAAGTCTCAACGTAGTCCAAATTCAGACCTTAACACAGTCGTGGCGAGGCTCGCCTGCACCATCTGCCGAAAAAGGTTCAGGCCAAACGCGACGACGACGACCGCGGCGATGCTGAGCCCGCCCGCGGCCATTTGTATCACGTTGAACAGCGCAAACCCGACAATCGCGATGAGCACTGCGTACCACGCCACAAGCGCATCAATCCCACGTCCGAGCGCCGGCCCGAGCAGCACGCCGGCCATGCCGACGAGGCCGAAGAGCCCGATGTCTAATCTGTCTCCGGGTCAGCGAAAATCCGAAAGAAAACGACGAGGCAAACGTGGTGTATCCGTATATCGGCCCGCCGAGGAGGAACGTGAGCGTGACCCAGAAGCTCGTAAAGGCCGCGCTTGTGCAGAAATTAACCGCGCAGGCCTGCAGCAGTGCGGGCTCCGTAAACGCGTATCGCGCCATCGTCCGCAGAATGCGCCAATACGTCAGCCCATCCACGGCCTTTGCGGGGTAGTCCGGGAGCAAGAGGTAGTTCGCGAGGAGGGCCGCGGCTTGGGTGGCGATTCCGACATAGTAAGCGCCGCGCCAACCGGCAGCCGAGAGTTGCCCGAGAACGCCGGCGAGAACGCGCGCGACGAGCACGCCGAGGAGCAGCCCGGATATCACGACCGAGAGCGCCGTTGCGCGCCGGTGGGCCGGGGCGATGTCCGCGACGAGCGGCTGCAGCAGCGTGGTGATAATCGAGGCCGCGGCTGTCAGGAAGGACAGGGCCTCGAAGAGGAGGAAGTTTGTGGTGACGCTCAGGCCCTGGAGCAGTGAGGAGTGAACGAGGGACGTGCTGGATACGCACCACGGTCAACAGCGTGGAAACAAGCAGGCACAAGAGGATGAGCTGGCGTCGGCGGACGAGATCCCCCAGCGGCGAAATGAAGACTACTCCGCAGGCATATCCTGCTTGCAGCAGCGTCGGGACCCTGCCGCCGTCAACAAAGGAGAAGAACGGGCAGAAAAGAAACGCGCACTCTGAGATCTTCGAGTACGACACCCTGAAATCCTGCGCCAGCTCGACTGTGAATGCTGTCAGCGGGAAACTACAAAGAGAATGAAAAGCGCACTGAGCAGCGGCTGGCACCAATAGAGATTCGTCACAGCTACCGCATCCGATGAGTCAACGACGAGTAGGCGCGTCACCGATGCGAGACTCGGACAGACGCACTGAATGTGCTCGAGAAGCCGAGCGTAAGATAGAGCACGACGCCGAGCTCGAACGTCCGGCCCTCGCGGTAGCGCAGGCGCTCCGGGATCGGGAGGACGTACAAGTCTTGCGTAACGACTTGAACGGTGCTCGGGCATTCCGACGCAGGGCGGGGCTGAGAAGGCGGCAGGGAGGACGAGGAGGTGGAGGGGGACGGCATAAAGCGTTGCCGCATGACGACACGCGAAGTGCCATGGTGGGCGGAAGCGAAAAAAATGAGCCGGCCGGAATATCGTGTACCCGGAGATATTTATGGTCCGCCGGCCGCGGCGACGCGCTGGGATCAATCATGATGCGGATTCTTATACATCACGGTCATACAAGCATAGAATGATGGGGGTTTTCGAGGTCCTTGTTGTTGTTGTTGAAAAGAAAGAATGATTTCAAGTACCACGTTTAGGGTGCTGTGTTGGTGCTGTGCGTTGAAGTTGTTTCAAATCCCGCTTCAAAACGGTTTCGAAACAGGTCCAAGTGATGCTGAAACAGGTATAATTTTTATGGGCAATATACTGTAACATTAATAAACAACAAGTTTGAAATAAAAACATGGATAATTTTAAGACAACTTCAAACTTCTGTTGAACAAGTAATTGGCACTTGTGGGCAGCTTAGTATTCTGACAAGGCACCTTCCATCTGGAACAACTTAGGCTAAGGACAACTTGGCAGAGATAAGGTACAACTCTGATTCTGGAATGAGACAACTTCCAATGATCAAAGTACAACTTTGGAAATAGAAGATACAACTTTATTGGGACAGGGTATAACTTAGTCCTTGTAGAACTATGCCCATTTGACAGGCAGAATAAATGCTGACTAATGATGCCACTTGTGATACCATATGGTGTCCATCCTACCACAACTTTAAATTTATTTTAGTCTGAAAAACAGAAAAAAAATATGTCATTTGGCCATGTTTTCTCATAAAGTCAAACTTCCATTTTTCAACAGTATAATCACTTCCAGACCTGTGCTAGTAATTTGCCAGTAAGGGACCTGGACCACAGCACTTGCACAGTAAGGTCATGGCACTTGCCGGTGCACAGTGGGGACACAACACTTGCAGAGCCTTGCAAGGTGCTTCATTTGATGCATTTGGTAAGATATAGGCTGTTCCACTTCATTCTACCAGAACCTGGAGCAATCCCTCTCTCTCTCCCAGTATATATTAATTTATCTAAAATCAGTTTTGCCTTACAATTATTCAGTAAGCAATTACTAATTTGTCTTTGGGTACAACTTGGCTGGGAGAAATGAGCTGTTGTCCTAAAACTTGAAATAGTTTTCTTGGGCCAAGGGAAAGCTGTACCCACCTTCCAGAAAAGTTGCCCTTATCTAAATCAACATGCCTGAAACTAAAGCACCTCACGACTGGCACAGGTAAGGTACCTCCACTCACCTGCAGGTTTTTTCAGGCAATTCAGCCATACCTCCATCCTTGAGTATTTATGCTTGTCAGGTACCTCCATCCATAGATACAGGTACCTTTAAGGGTACCTACGGATGGTATAAAGGTGGATTAGGTATAAACAAAGGAGATACAGAGCAGTAAAATTATGTTTAAAGTTGATATGCAAAATACAAGTATAACTTGCACTATCTGAGGCTGTATGATCTATTATAGGCCAGTTCTGAGGATATTTTAGTGAATTTACAGGTACCTTCAAGAACTAAATCCAAGACCTCCACTCCCTGCCATCCGTGGGAAAAAGGGTACCTCCATCCGCGGATGGCTACACCTGCGGATGGAGGTCTCAGGTACCTGTTGAACCATCCTCAGGTCCAGCCACTCGTGAGGAGCTTTACCTGAAACTAAAGTTGTCACTTTCTAAAGTTGTCTGATACTTTTGCCAAGTTGTCCTCAACCTAAGTTGTCATATATGAAAGTTGTCCTGATCTGGTGTAAAGTTGGCTTGATATAAGTGTCACTTGTATCAAAAAAAGTTGTTAATGATTAAAGTTGTCTCAAAATTACTCGTGTCATTTTTCAGAAGATGTTGTTTATTAATGTTACAGTATATTGCCCATAAATTTTTCAATTCCGCTGATGGCAAGGGTGATTTACAAACAGACTTTAGTCTGTGCTGATACAGTATGGGGGACATACTGTCAAAAAGTATTTGATACATGGTTTGAAATGGATACTACTTTTTGAAGGTACAACTTGCCTTTTTTAGAGTTTTTAGATACAACTTCGCAAATTAGATACTACTTTTCACTGTGTATACAAATTAACTGTCAGGGGAACCCCTGCTTCGGCCTCCTTCGGACCCTCCGAACACATCCGAGGTGCATCCGACTGGCGCCCCCTCGGACACTCCGACCCACCCCGACCATCGTCCACGGCCTCCTTCGTCCGCACAATCACCAATTCGTCAAGACCCTCCCAACGATCACCTTGGGACAGAGCCTGCGACGCTGCTCAGGCCTTCTGCGCTCTACGTCGGCAGTTACAGATGACCAGTATATAGTTGGCGCCCTAGCAGGCAGACCCTTAGAGTTTCTTCTCTTTGGATCCTCCCCTGCTAGGCTTTCGTCCGAGTCTCCAGGGTTGCCCTTACATTAACCTCAAAAACAACTTTCCTGCTGATATGTTTTACTCTGGCTGGTGACATGTTATGGGCAGTATATTGTATCATAAGTTTTGGTACAACTTCAGCCAAAATCGGTCAAATTTTAGGTACAACTTTTGTTTTACCCAGATTTTATTGATACAACTTGTTTTTCCAGGCACAACTTGCAACTTTCAGTACACAACTTGATGACTGGCAACTATTGGTCTCTTCAGCAACCTGACTTGAACAAGTTGCAACTTTGAAGTCCCCTATTGCAACTTTTGACAGGCAACTTACAACATGCATGTGTAACTTTCAACTCAGCATGCGCAAAGGAGCGCATCCTGGGTGAGGGTGCGCCGGCGGACACATGTTGATGGCATAAACAACGCTGAGAACGGACTCAGCTGTGAGGACGACCCCGGGGAGGCCGGGAGCAGTGGAGAGCACTTGCTTGCCTAGAGGCTAGAGCCGAGCTGCTGTCTAGCCCTCTTCGTCGTCGCAGCCGGTTTGACGCCACCGTCATCATCCTTGTCGCGTTGTCGCCGTCAAGAGTCAAGAGAATCGCACAGCCACTCCGTCACGGTCACGGGTCTTTCTGATGGGCTTTCGCGTGTTGTTCCAAAGAGTTGCAGCCAACAACTTGGATGTTGCAACCAACAACTTCAAGGTGTTAGAGGGTACAGAAAAAGCTGCAACCAACAACTAAAAAGTTGGAGTTGCTGGGGGGAAAAGTTGTAACCAAAAAGTCAAATGTTGTAATGGGAGGATAGAAAGTTACAGCAAATAAGTTGTGAGTTGTTAGTGAAGATAGAAAGTTGAATCCATTCTTTTGGAAGTTGTTCTCACTTTTAGCATGTTAAAACAGACAATTCAAAGTTGTACAAAAAAAAAAAGGGGGAAAAAAAAGTTGAAACTTGCAAAAAACTTATGATACAGTATACCGCCCATATATTGTTTATTAATGTTATATAGGAGACATACTGTAAAAAAAGATTAGAGACAACTTAGGTAAAATACAACAAAAAATATGGTACAACTTCATATTGACTACAACTACATGTTTGTCGAATATAACTTTAGCAATAACATATAACTTGTCTGAGTACAACTTTCCATCATGAGACGACTCTTTTGAGAGCATGTACAACTTTAGGGGATGCAACTTTCTTAGAAGCATGTACAACTTTCAGAATCACAACTTTTCCAGAAACAACTTTTCATTTAGCCAAAGACAACTACAACTTCTAATAAGACATCTTTGGCCCTAATTCAGGTACAACCTTTTCCTGGGTGAGGCAACTTGAGTCTGGCTGTGACAAGTACAACTTGGGCAAAGACAACCTGTCATTGCATACAACTTTCCAAAGCACAACTTGTTCTGAGTACAACTTTTTTGGGGTACAACTAGCCAATTGGACAACTTTTTTTAGTACACCTTTAATTCTGTATACAGCTTATTTGGATGCAACTTGGACCTTTTTAGCCAGCCATCACTGATATCATCAGATATCATCAGTGGATCAGAGAAACAGATTAAATATGCTCCCTCTACCTATGTTGGCTAGCAATTTTACATTGTGATGTAGTATACAATCATGCCCAATGATTTTTGAATAGATCATGTATTTTTTTTAAAATTGATTGCTGTTGATGGCCGCTGATGGCAAGTAATGGAAGAATGGAAGTTGTACCTTGCCTGAAAAAAGTTGTGTCTAGGCCCACAAAAGTTGTACCAGAGGCCTTGACAACATGTATCTTGGAAAGTTGTGATTTACAAAGTTGTTGCATTCTAAGTTGAAGTAGCTCTCAAGAAAGTTGTACCTCAGAAAGAAAGTTGTACTTGAAAAAAGTTGTACCTAAAATGAAAAACCAAGTTGTATCTAAGAAAGTTGAAGATGCTGCTGAAAAAGTTGCCAGTGTCTGCTCATTATAAGTTGTCAATAGTCAGAAAAGTTGGACTTGGTGAAGTTGAACATGTCTTCAGGGGGGTTGTCATCAAGTATAAACATGTTACCAGCCAGAGTAAAACATGTTGCCAGATAAGTTCTCTTTGGGTTTGACTTGTACATGTCCACAGGGTGAAAAGTTGTATCTAATTTTCAAAGTTGTATGTGAAATTGTAAAAAAGGCAAGTTGTATCTTCAAAAAGTTATATTCATTTCAAAACATGTATGAAATACTTTTGTTATAGTATGTCCCCCATAATGTTACAGTATATTGCCCATATACTGTATCAAAAGTTTTGGTACAACTTCTTTCAAAAACACTGAAAATTCAGGTACAACTTTGATTTCACTCAAAACTCAACGACATACTTGCATCCCTGTCAAAGTCATTCATGTTTTTACTGCAATCGTCGCGCAAAAGTTGAAGAAGAAAATCAACGAGATCTCTCTCTCCAAGTCCATCAAGGACCTCATCGGTTCCAAGTCCACTCTTCAGAATGAGATTTTCAGTGATCTCCAACTCAAGTTTACCTCCACTCCCGAGAAGGGAGAGGACCCTCTGCTTGAAGATTTGGCAAGCGCGCTTTCTTATGGCCACAGTGGTACGTTCAAAGTCTGCTTTTCGCCACCCAATTCACTCAAATTGTGTTCGCAGCTCAGCACATCGAGCTGTATATGCGCTACCTCAACCGGAACTCCTGGGCCGGCGAAACTGCTCTCGTCAACGAGAAGGCCAACAGTCTTGCGCTACAGACCAAGCTCGACAATGTCGCCAAGGAGCACGGAGACGTCTATATCGAGGGTATTCAACTCATGTTTGACCCCATCAAGGCTCGCCGATTCGACTTGAATTGGGCTCGTCAAGATGCCCTTCTCATGTTCTATGACATTATCTTCGGTCGTTTGACGACTGTCGACTGTGATATTACTGCTCGTTGCATCGCGTTGATGAACCGTGCCGATGCTGAAGTTTTGGCCTATATGCAGTACAAGATCGGCCAAATGGACCCAACTGAGACGTACGCATTGGCCAAGAAATCCGGTCAGCAACTGATTGACAATGTCCGGGAGGTCATCGGAGAAGACCCGTTTTACATGGTTTGTTGTTCAAACGGGTTAATCTTTTTGTCTGACGTTTATCAACAACTTCAGTACGATTGCCTTGACCAAGCGCCACTGCTCGAGCCCCGTCGACTTGCCGTGTATCTATCCAAGGTACGAAGGGTACCTGATTCCTCTTCTCTTTTCTCACTTTCTCAGCAGAAAGACTCGCGATGGGACCAGTTTATCGCTCTGTCCAAGAACGGCAGACTCTTCAAGAATGCAATGACCACAGCAGCGGTCTTTGGATCGACCAAGATTGCCGAGCAACCAATGTCGACATTGCAATGCTTCACGCGGCCTGAAAAAGAAGTGAACGGTCGAAGAAGGAAGTGCAGAAGGAGCAAGAGGATTATGACCACAAAGCGGCTAATTGGTGGGCTTGTTACTCTTCCCAGACGAATGGGCTAATGCTTCAAATGACCGGGTTTTACTGAAGGACTGTATACTCTCTAGCGTAATTATCATCATGATACTTTTATTTTTGCACTGCCCCCTCGACATTTTTTTCTCTTCTATAAGAGCTTCAGGCATAACTTAAACGATGTCCTATCTCACCTATCATCTTCTGTTTTGCTGTGCTTCCCTGGCATTTTGAATCTGCGTTACTTACACCAAATCCCGTCTGCTGACTAATCACTCCTTCTTCCTTTCGAACGGTCAACTGTGACCACAGGCAGGCCATCGCCCGTTGGGCTGGGTCCCAGCAATATGGTTGTGATATGCCCGACGAGGTATATACTCACCTGAAGCGTGAACTTATCCACGCGATTTGGGAGTTATTACTGTCCAACGAATTTATGGACGCTTACGATAACGGCATTAAAATCAAGTGTTGGGATGGGCTTGTTCGCTTGGTATTCCCGCGTTTCCTCATATATGGCGCAGACTATCCAGAAAAGTGGGTTCGGTCTATCTAAGAGTGCGTTCAGTAAAAACTCAAACGCGGTGTTTGATGCTGGAAACCAGGAGTTTGATGGCGGAATACCTCGGAGCCTTCGGGTAGATAATGTTAGATGAAACTCCTTTCCTCATTTCTGCACTAATGTACGGCTCAAAACTTGGTAGTTAGGACTCCACCAGACAATAACAACTGGTGGATTGCCTTCCCAACTTTTTGAGCATAGTAAACACGTCCAAACGCGTGATATATGGAAGAAAAAAAACACGACACGTCTTTGACAGTTGGGATTAAACCCCAGCATCAAACCCAAAACACCGTGTTTGAGTTTTTACTGAACGCACTCTAAGTAGTTTTTACTGATCTGTCACAGAGTTCTCCTTGCAATGATTCGAAGCTTCGGCGGTTGCCCTTGTCCCCGGTGTTTTATACAGAAGGGGCAGATCATGGAGACGGGCACTGTCAATGACATGGAGCGTCGGAGTAACATTCGAGTGGATGATCATCCACGATGGTCAACCATCGAGTTCGCCCAGGCGGCCATCTTTGGCAACGGAAATGCAGTTGCTGGTTCCGCCATCGACAAAATGCTCAAGGCACAATCTTGGGCGCCTACCCGAGCGAGTATTTACCACACGCATATCATTCGCTTTGCTCATTTGCCTAGAATGCTTTCTCAAAACTGGATACAATCAAGACGCCGTTCAATCTGTTCACAATGTTCGTACCCGACCTCTTGCATGAAGTCGAATTGGGGGTTGCCAAAGCCATTGTCATCCATATTATTCGAATGTTACACGCCTTCAAGAACATCGATGAATTTGACCAACGGTAAAAAAATTTAATCCAATCAGGGCGTGGAAGAACTAGTGGTGCTGACGGAGATGCTAGATTCCGGGAGGTTCCCACCTTCGGGCGTAGTACCATCCATTCTTTCTGCAAGAACATGTCCGAGTTGAAGTACGCTGCCACCAGAAACTACGAAGACATCATACAGGTCGGCCATGCTTCCTGCTTGACAACTGACTGGTACTGACTCATGAGCATTCTACAGTGTATTCTCCCGGTTCTCGAAGGATTATTTCCTAAACATCAAGTACTGATCGACAAACTTGCTTTCGAATTAGCAATCTGGCACAGATATGCCAAGCTCCGGATGCATACTACGTCTACTATCCAACTCTTTCACCTGGCGACCAAAGATCTTTGCACTACCATCCGTCGTTTTGCTCGAGAAACTGTGAATGTCAAAACCTACGAGCTTCCCAGAGAAACAAGGCGACGAATGAACCGACCATCCAAGGCCCCTCCACCAAACTTATCCGTTCCAGCCCCGCCCGGCGTCGGACAATCTACCGATACCTTCTGCCTCATCGCAGTCTGCTACCCAGGCTGTGGCAACACCTCCGACCTCAAAGAAGAAGAAGACGCCCGCTCAGAAGCTGGAAAAGCCATTCAACTTTCACATACAAGCTTCACTCAATCCCCAATTACCCCGATGCTATTGTGCGGTTTGGAACGACTGATTCTACTTCCACCCAAAATATAAGAAGCATTTACTGGGACTTGGCGTGAGCTTATCTGAAATTTTTAGGGAGAAGTTGCACACCGTCTCATAAAGTATCTCTACCAACGAACCAACAAACGAGAACATGTAAGGCAGATTGCGAAGCATGAACAACGTCAACGATTAATGAGGGCCATGTGGGAACGAAGGAGGCGGTACAAGGAAGCAGAGAAAGGACATGTCAATCCATCCTCGGCCTCGAATATTTCCACTTACGCCAACTCCACGATTTCGCACAAGCCAATCAAAAACCGACGTGAACGCTTGTGCACTGTGCTCTGTCCCAAAGCTACCTATAGTCATTATACATACGTGCCTCCCGAACAACATCATTACATCTCGGATTCCATCCGAACATCGATTCGTCTCTCAGACCTTGTCGACACGGACTTGCACTCAGACACTAACACGGATGGTGGAGATGGTCCAATGGTGATCCATTTCTCGATCCTACCGTTCATTAACTGATGCTGTGTACAGGCTATTGACCCACCCGATCCTGTAATCCCTGACCCTGCACTACATGTAAGGTCTTAGTTATCTCGGTTTTCTTCCTTCACTCATTTGTGCTAGAATTTTACACGCAAGTTAAAGTCTCACCTACGACAAAGGCTCCTAGGTTCGGAGTACGATGGTGACGACACATGTTTCACTGATGAAGAGCTCATAAATGTGGTACTCGAGAAGGACGCCCTTTATAGTCACGCCACTCTGCGAGTAAACTTCACCACTTACGATCTCCGAAGAGACCAAGACGTCATCAACCCCCAGTCCCGGAAATTCTGTATCGTTGCGGGTCAAGACCCACAGGACCGCCATGAACTCTGGTACGGCGAAGTCCTTGGGATTTTCCATACCCGTGTGCTTCTGGCCGACCAGCCGAACAAAGCTCGGCGTATGGAGTTCCTTTGGATGCGGTGGCTGCAGCGCGATGTGACCTACCGATGTGGTCTGAAGGCTAAGCGCCTGCCTCGCGTACACTATATGCCTCATGATGTCCCGGATACATTTGGCTTCTTGGACCCCAGCGATATTATTCACGGCTGCCATCTTATCCCAGCATTCGCTCACGGCCACACTACACAATATCTTCCTAAATCTATGGCTCGACAGGCATCTGAACAAGACAAAGACTGGAAATATTTTTACGTCAATATGTAAGTAAGTTTTGTCAAGTAGTACACTTGTGTTTGACCAAGTTCATTCTAGGGTCGTCAATCGAGATATGATGATGTGGTATCACGACCGCGTCATTGGTCACCGCAAAACTCGAGCTCCAACAAGGAATCCCACAACAGAACAGGAGCAGATAACTGAAGAAGTTGTTGATGATGTGGTGGCTGATATGGCAGAGGAGGTCAATGTGGCGGCTGTTGTAGCGGAAGAAGATGATGAAGAAGAAGAAGGAGAGCCAGATGACTGGGTTGCAGAGGGTGCTGATTTTGATACGGATAACGAGCATGAAGAAGATGAGGGTGGCAAAGACGAAGACGAAGATTCACTCAGCCATGCTACCATTGTAAGCAGATTAGGTTATGATTCAGAATAATTGCAATGTGGTTTTAAATTGCTATAATACTACTTTTACACACTAGTCCCAGTCTGGGATATTCATGGTACCTGGGACTCCCAGGTACCATGAATATCTACCACTCAGGTGAGTTCTGGCCTGAAATTTTTACCCTAGTGATCATCTCAAGATGCATTCTATGATTCCGAGAAAGCAGATTTACCAAATATACAGTACAGAATATTAAAATGATTTTTTAGATACCTACTTCCTAATTTGGAAGGGTTGTCCGTGTTTGACTGATTATGACGGATACCTTAGGATGACTGCACCCCTATCACATCGTCAACAGGTTCTCTTCTGGCGCCGGCCCTTGCAGTTGAATCCCAGCCACATGGCCAGCAGCGAATACAGCCACTTCCATTATATATATTTCCCGCCTCGCACTCATATCATTCAAGAACCACATCTGCTTCGCAAAGTCCCGTCGATCGCCGTCGAATACGCGATAAGATACAGTACTACCATACGTGCCCACAGCCCGCCGACCCGCATCAATCCATCAGCCGAATATCCGCGAATGGTATCCGGATCCGTCCCCGCATCAGTCGATTGGCAACCATCACGGAGCTGTGACACGTCCTTCTCCTTCCTCTTGCTGACGACCATGACGGGCGACTGAACTATTAGCTATCAGACCCACCGGCAATCTTCCAGGCTGCGCTGCCAGCTCGTTCCTGGCTTGGCTACACACCAGTTCTATGCATTTGGGCGGCGGGCTATTCGTGGCTGAAAAACTGAGTTTCGCACAGGCGAGTTTCTGTTCGTGCGTCATCTTCTGTAGTCACTGATTCGTAGACGGATCACGGTGTCAGGAACATCGTTGGGGCACGCGGCGCAAACGGCGCGCAACGGGCCTCGGCAGCAGAACGCGGGCCTTGTTGTTTTTGGTCCCTGTCTCAGGCTGGACGAGTCAGCCCATGACCAATGGCAGACGACCTCTTGAAGGCCAGTTGTTCCTGCGTCAGACTGTCTTACTGGCAGGGCAGCTTCACGCCCGGAAACTCGTCGGAAACACACACTAATATCTCTACCTTGACAATCCATTGCAAGCACTCCCACGCGTCAAAATCTCCAGGATCCGCCATTGTAGCGATCCTGAAAAACCATGCTGGATCAACGCGCGCTACTCCGACGATTCAATACTTGCCCGAACGATTTCTATTGGAGCGACTGCCATTCTATTGAGTGACTTCCATTTGTACCATGGGCACTGGCAGATCCAACTAGGGTTCTCACTGCAGTCATATCAGGAGGATGCGATCGTGTGAAGCTCGTCTTCGGCGCTTACTTGCCCCATCAGCAGAAATGCGATATATGGCGAAGGATTCTTTGCATTGCTGCGTCTCTTTCCCCCCACTTGACCATGTCGGCGGCTGCCCTTGCGTTCGATCCGGACTCGACTTATGGTGCGTGGCTACCTACATATCCAAACGGCACAGAGCTCAGTTCTAATAGGCGCGCTGCTTGTCGGTGCCATTCTTTCCGCTATATTGTGGGTAGCGGCACGCTTTTCCGAGCGAAGCATACTCATTCAAGCATAGATTCGGCGTGTCCACCGTGCAAATCTACATCTACCACTCTCGTTTCCTGGACGACAATCGTGTCATAAAGGCTTTGGTGTCGATCGTTTGGTAAGACCTTTTTGCCTTCTTGGGATGGCTGCTCAAACTTCCACAGGCTCTGCGAGGTCCTACACCTGACCTTCGTCAGCCACACCCTCTACACATGGATCGTAACTGACTGGGGCCACCCCGAGCTTCTCCTCGCGAAGGCTCCGTTTTCGCTCGGCGCCGCGATCATCATTACGACCACAGTCTCCTGCCTCGGTGTGTCCGCCCATCTTCTCGCCTTCGCAACGGCCACTAATGTTACACCGTAACAGTCCAGGGCTTCTTCTCGTGGCGCATCCAGGTGCTCTCGCGCCAGCCCTTCGCTGCTTACCTCATCTACGCGCTCACCGCCGTGCGCTTCGGCTTTGGCTGCGCGATCGGCGTGCTAGACCGCCGCGCGGTGACGATAAAGCAGTTTGAGGTGGAGTTTGAGTGGCTCATCCTCACGATGTGGGCTTTGACTGCTGCCGGTGACCTCTCGGTCACGTTCTCGCTGGTTTATCTCCTGTGGCGCCAGCGCAGCAAGGTGCAACAGTGCGTATTTCTTGCTCAGGGATAGCTGTGTTGTCCTTACGTTTGCCTGCAGATCGTCTGCGTTTGTCGACCAGATTATCAAGTGGACGGTCGGTATGTTAAAGTCAGTTTCTAGACTTTTGACGGCCTAACACCAGTTCAGAAACCGGCGTCACGACGAGCTTGTTCACGACTGTCATCCTTATCTGCGTACGTGATGCGGCACTTCCCGTTGTGTTGTCTCATGGCCTCTGCTAGTTCCACCAGATGCCCCATAATCGTGCGTACAGTCTGTTTATTCAGACAATTCACCAAAATAATGCGGCAACCCAGTCATATGGCTCGGTCTGTGGGTTATGGAGGCCCGATGTATGTGGACTTCCCAACGGTGTTACTATCCGACTAATCTTCACATCGCCCCATCGCAGTGTTCGCCAATTCTCTCTTCGCTAGGTAACCCTTCCCCTTGAAACGATCCGACGTCAACTTGAAGAATGCTTACAGCTTGAACTCGCGCACTGCTCTCCGAGAGATGCGCAACAACTTCGAGTCGCACTCAGGCGGTCGCTCCAGCAGCGGAAATGAGATGGTGCGTGCCGCTCCAAGCATGCTTCTTACTAAGTCTGAAGACCGCCCAGCAGCGCCGCAGGGGCCCATTCGCCGCCGCTCCGCCAATAACTGGCATCTCGGTCGAGATGCACTCGCACATCGACATGGGAGACCCTGACCGCGACGTGGAGATGGCCAAGGCCAGCGCCTGGTGAGGAAACAACGCACGAAACGCCGAATGGGCGAACGCCCACCGGCATCCGAGGCCGGGACAGGCTGGGACTTTGTCGTTTACGTGTACTCTTATGTATGTAGGTGGCGGCGGGTTCAGTGGTTATTTACTCAGACTATTTATTTGATCGACCAAAAGTCGCTACTTCCAGCGCAGTACATCGCGGCTGTCCCGTCGTCCATCTGTCAACCTGTTGGATTGCTCATGCCGTGGATGCAGAGTATGTAGCTGGGCGCCGGCTCGTGTCGCACCGCTCTGCGACACGGGCCGGCGCAATCTGGCGCGGCTCTTCTCTGCGCTGAGTCTCTTTTGGTCTTTTCGCCTAGGCTTTTTATTGAAGATACTACTGGAAGTGCCAAGCCCGTGGGCTGATTGCGACTCCGAGTCCTGCCGAGTCCTTATCAATACTCGACAGCTTATCGATCAGAATCTCAACGTATACCCTTGTCTTCTGTGGAACTTATGTAGTGTTCAGAAATACCCCCATACATAATAAATACATATAGTGGTCCTCTTCGCCCATACGGGGTCATAAGAGCCGATCCAATCGTTCTCTGAAAACTGAAGTTAGGGTACGGGCCTCGGTTGCAGCAGATGGCGATCTTTCACAGGGCTTAGATTTTTCTGCTACTGTTTCACCGTAGTTACGAGTATTTAGTCGTTGTATCATATTGCCATTTGAGGGTGGAGTATTGTAATATATATATATAAACCAAGAACGCGCGGAATGGCCACTGCCGCACCATTGACCAAGCAAATCGGTCAAGCGGTGTGCTGCGGCGGCGCGCAGCTTATTACGAATAAGCCAAACAAGGGCAGGCGAAAGGCGCTACTTATATTCTCGCGGATCGCAGACAAAACGGAACCCGACATGGCCCACGGCAGTTACGCCACGCAGACACGCGGGTGGTGCGCATGATGCCGGACGGGTATCGGAATGGGGAACGCGCGGATGATGCTGTTGAACCGCCCTTTCGGCGGGGGCTGCGAAACGACGTCCACGGGCACGTGATGCTGCAAGGGGAAGGCAATGGTCATGAGGGTCGAGTGGTGTGCGAGCAGGTCGGCCTCTTTGATGGCCAGCTCCCAGTCAAGCACCTCGAGGAATTCGCGCTCGATACGGCCCACATCGCCCTTCCCGAAAACGCCCGTGCATAACGCCCAATGGCTATTCCTGAGAGTAGAATCGTTGGTATACTTGGAGGCGACGATCAGCGCGCCGAGGAAGACACGCTCTAGCGCCCATTCCTCAATCCCAATGGATAGATGGGGACGAGCGCGGGAGATGTAGACGAGGGCAGCGAGGACGGTGGCGGGCGTGACTTCGGCCCGGGTGAGGACATGGTGCACAAAGGTGGTGAAGGAGGAGAGGTAGCGGGACGGGGTGCGGCCCCTCGGAGTGGAGGGACGGCCGATGGCGAAGTCGACGGTCTCGACGACACTCTCGATAAGGTATTCTGAAAGAGAAAGTGAGTCAGAGAGACAAAAGCAAGACAAGAGGCGACGCACCAACAACAGGCTTTGTCAAGCGGAGGTCAACGAGCTCCATCAGCGCAGACGAGTGTGTGGCGGGGTCCACGAGGGACGCAGCGTGTATCGGCCAGGCGTGCATCTGCGCTTGCGGCGAGTCGAAGGGAGCCCAGCCCGCAGCACCGTGCCACCTTATATAGCCCCTGCATGGTGGGAGCGGAAAAAAGCCGTGGCAGCAGGCCAGTCCCGAAGCGGATGACTCACGCCGAGCCAGCTCAGCTCCCGATTCGGATGTCGTGATACCCATTGATGCGCGCGGCCAAGGCTCAGCTCAGCACGGAATTTACCCGTTGTTGGCACACAGCAATATAATGCAAGGCAAGGCAATTTTGGCGGCATCCGCCAGTCACTCATGCGCTGACTGTTAACCACGGGCCCCACCGCTGAGCAATCGATACTACGAATGCAAATCCAGCGACCTTCAAGGGTGGTGGCGCCGGGTGGCCCGGCCCCGGGGTGGGGCCACTGTCCGAGTCCTCGACGATATGCGGGACTTCCACGCGTCCCTACCCACCGTAAGCAAGTCCCACCTGTACTCCGACCCAAACGTACTTTGTCTCGCGCCTTTCGGGCTGGTGGTCCATGTGTCGTGCGTCTCAAGCGCAGGCGCAGTACGCCGCGGCCACCCACCAAGACGTATGTACCTGACTGCGACAAACCGCCGGCATGGCAACGTTATGGGTAATCGGCCATCACGCATCAGCGCCAATCCCGGTCCGCGCACGCCGTCACGCGCAAAGGGACCTAAAGGGTACAAGTCCGCGTCCCTAGTTTGGCGCACTCTCCGTGCCCAAGCGCTCTGGCTAGCACCGCATATCTGGCTGGGCTTTCCATTTCCGGCCTATATAGCGACGAGGACCGTGGATGTATGCCACATGCTCTAGGGCTTGGTTTTATAAAAATTTTGGCCTTAACAAACGGTTTGTAAAAAAAATCTTCTCAAAACCCTGTTTATAAACTGGTTTTTAGGTTTTATAAACACTTCAGGCTAAGCAGCCCAACTGTACCTTGCGCCATATAACTTTCATATATTTGTCAAGGTGAAATACTACTAATAGTGGTCCCAGGTGAGGCCCAGAAGTTTCCTTTCAATATTTACTATCTCAGCTAAATTTTATAGTGTAGGATACTTTTGATAGCAGAGATGTCACACTTGGGCTGACTGTCACACTAGTGTCACATTGTTTACAAACACCCCCTTCCCAGAATGTCTGTTTATAAACAAATAAAACAGGGGTGTTTATAAACCAGTTTACAAACATCCCTATATAAACCAAGCCCTAACATGCTCAACTAGATACTGTGTTAGACTGTTAGTAGCCAAAAGAAGAAGAAAAAAAAAATTTCCCAAAAAGGACAGAGGAAAAGAGAGGAAAAGGGAGCTTACCTAGGAATTGCACATGTCCTACCATACATCATGATCTCAGATCTGCTATATAACATTGAAAATTTACTGTCCCAATCCACTGGCATAAGTATCACACCCAACTACTAACAGGAACACACTACTTTTACAGAAATATCCTACATATATACAGGCCACTGACTACACATGTGGAAGGTACTTATTCCAATTGACTTCCATATATGCCGCTAGGGACACTTCGCGCAACGCCGCAAGCGGCAGGCCAAACAGCACAATCCGCGCAGGCACATAGAACAAACTGCCCAGCAGCCACAGAGGGACAATGACCTCTGCTGCCAGCACCTCTGCTGCCAGATCGTACCCATAGACCGTAAGCAGTGTAACCGGGACGGCGCTCACAACGACGGATGATGCCCGCCAGAGCCATTTCTCCGGGGCCGACAGGAAGTGGGCGCGCCAGGCGGCGCAGTGAATCGCGCCGAACAGGCTGGTGACAATGATCGAGATGAACGGGGTGTACTTCTCCTTGTCGTCAGGATGCGAGGCAAAGTAGAACGTGGGCACTGCCGGTTCTCGGAAGGGATCGAATTGGTGCAGCGCCTGCGTGAAGTTGGAGAACCCGATCATGTACAGAAATTTATCGACCAGGGTGCGTATTTGGCGGGGCGCCGGCCCTGAAAGAGGGTCGGACGCAGTGCTTGGGCCGACTTTTATCGGCGCGCGGACATCGAGCGGCTTGTTCCACCACAGGATCCACGTGAACGCGTTGACAGCAGCGAAAGCCAGTGTTGCGACCTCCAGTTCGGTCAGCGGCAGCCGCTGGTTAAGCCGCGCAAGACACTGGACCACAAACCAAAGCGTCTGCAGCAGCGCGACCGTCTTGGAGAATGCGTCGCCCTGACTTCTGTTGAGGATATCCACTTCAGACACTTGGCGAATGGCGTCCATGTGCTGGTCGAGATCGCGGGTCCGGACGATTGGGTGACCGGCGTCATCGACGAAGCCACCCATGCAGATGAAGAAGCCGTGAGTGAGGGAGATGTCATATACTTGAACCAATTATCAGGACCTCTACTATCAGGATGACTTGTTGAAAACACACCTGTAGACCAATGCCATGCCATTTCCAGCTGTCTCCCAGCAAACCCCACAATCAGCTCCGGCGCAATAAGCGTTGCGAGCATCAGCTTTACACGCCGCCTCAATCCCTCTGTGCGGTCGACCACACGCCATCTAAGCCGTCGCCAGAAATTGACACCCTTGCCAGTTGGCGCAGGAGGGGTCGGTGGCGGTACATTGGGGTGTGCAGCGACCCAGACACATGCGAACAGTGTCGTAAAGCAGCCCCACACGATGTTGAAGAGATTTCGCCGATTATTACAAGCGTCTGAGTCGGACCCGGTGCCACGAGCGAAGAACTCGATGGGGTTGGAGGCATTCATGGCGAGACTGGCGCTGGAGGGGTGGTGGATGTCGAGCGGTATCGAGCGGCACCGTTGGTATAAGTATATGCATATCGATAGCGCCTCTATTGCACCAGCGCTAATGCACGACGTTGGCACCGGTAATGCTGACGGAATGTTAGTGGCGAGTTTGGCGCCACAAATTGCATCCTTTTTCCCCAGTCCCGTCTCCGAGCAACGAAGTGTCAATGCGCGGCGGCGAGCTTTGAAGCTGTTACACTTCCCAAGATGGAGCCAAAACGCCAAAGGATGGATGGGAGTGACGGGCTAAAAAGTGCCACGAAGAAAGCCGATGGTAGCCGAATGTGCCCAACAGCATATAGCCTCATGAGCGCTGTCCATCGGAAGAGTACTCCAAGTAGATAAGACGTGGCGGCCACCTCATTGGACGACTGCTGGTGGAAGTCCGGAGCAAGTCTGAAGATTTTAAAGGGCACAGCCACGTCACACACGTTTCTCAAATGATCCGCTCATAGGCTTTTAGTTTGCTGGTGTCCGGAGCAATAATAATAGTAATAATGTGGCATTAAAACTGAGTGCCGGGCAGCTCAACTGGCCAATGGGGGTGAACTGTACCCTTTTTAGTTTTCTTATCACTGGAGAAAAATTAAATAGAATTTATAGAAAGGGTTTCACAAATGTGTTAAGTAGTTATGATACTGTGTAAAAAATGGTCATTATAATTTTTTTTCCTCTATGTAGAAAATGATAGAAACCTCCAAGGGGGGTATCATGATTCATGATGCTTATCATGGCTATTGCTCTTATATTAAGGAGAGGTCATGTGAATGTATGCACATGTTTAGCACTGGCCTCAGCAATTCATTTGCTCCAAATTTCCATTTTTGGGGTCACTGCTGTTAAAGCCCCAAATTGATAACAAAAGTGGTGGGATCAATCCTAATTGGGATACAAAGCTGTACAACCAATAAAAACATTATACTTAGCGCTATTTACCATGGTGACACCTAAGTGTACTAAGTACTCTCAATTTTTCCCACAAATCAACATGTAAGTATATAGAGTTTACAGACTTGGGTTACAAGCAATATAGATAATAATAGACCAGATATTTAAGCAGGTTACTGTGCACCTGTGTGCTATTCTGTATTTTTTTATTTATATATATTTTGGAAATTCACTGTATTCAAGTAACATTCAAAGCTGGGGCACAGCCCCAGCCTGTCTAGTAGGGTCTATGGAGATGGTGGAAAAAAAAATATTTGCTATGCAAAAGTCTTGTGAAGTTCTGGTGGGTCTGAGTATTTGTTTACACTATATTTGTCCTTGGAATTGAAATTTGTCAATGTTTTACAGATTATCAAAGTGCTGGGATACAGACAAATATGTGATCTGGATTCCAGCTGGAATTTACAGCTGAGCAGAACTGCTGGAATTCAGCTGGAAATTCAAACTACCTGGACCCAGATGTTGACTTATGTGGAAACCAGCTGGAATGTCCTATGGCCATACTGTACCCGTACCAAGCTCCAAGCCACAATGCGCGGTACGGCCAGAGCTCTGTAACTCCACCGTACTTGGCCGTACTTTACGGTCATATCCGGCCGTATCCGGTGGTATGGTGATGGCTTGGTTATGACGGCCCAAGCTGTCAAAATAGGGGGGCAGATCGGCACCGGCATCGCTTAAGGTGCACCGCAGAGGTCAACGTAGGGCCTCCCATTGGTTGGTGTCAGGGGAACCTCCCTTTCGGCCCGGAGACGCGCCCGATTCCGGTCCGACTCCGGTTCCGACTCCGGTCCGGCCCTCCATCTCGCCCGCACAATCACCGATCCGTCAACGCCCTCCCGACGGTCGCCCTGGGACCTCGCCTGCGACGCCGCCCAAGCCTTCTGTGCCCGACAGCGGCAGCTACAGACAAGCAGTATATAGTCAGCTACCTAGCAGGCGGACCCTTAGAGTTTCTTCTCTTTGGATCCTCCCCTGCTAGGTCAGCTTCATTTGTATTCGCTTACCAATGTTCACGCCTTTGGATCCTCCCCTGCTAGGACCTTGATTTCAGGCCTCCGGGGTTGCCCTTACAGCAGAAGAAACTCTCTACGGGATCAACCGGACAAGATTGCCAGGTTCGGCGCTGACTCAGGCTCGGAGTACGAGTCCGTTCCGCCCTTGTCACCGCCCCTGCCACTTGTCCCCTCCTCCTCTACTCCTGTGGTCCCCGCACCCGTCATGCCGTCCAGAGTCACTCCTACCGCAGACGCCCGGCTGGACTCACTCGAGGCGAAAATCGATCCTGAGGCCTTCGTGGTCAACGGAGAGGCGAGCGAGGAAAAGGCCGTCCGCTATGCCATGTCGTTCATG